ATCAATCTGAAGCATCGATAGTTGAGAAATATGTTGCTGAAGAAGCTATGGAGTTTTGTTCTGATTACTTGTCAAGTACAGAATCAATTGGACTTCCTAAATCTCGTCATGAGAAAAGGCAATATAGTCAAGGCACACGTGGAGTATCAGTAAAGAGCATGAATCATGATGAATTACAAGAAGTACATTTATATATCTTGAATAATATTGATGAAGTTAAAGATTACATATCTTCTCATAAAGAACTTTTAAAGGAAAAAAATTATCGAATGAGAATGACTAAACAAAAGTTGTTGAAAGAGCACAATAGAACTTTGGTAGACTGGTTCAAGCAAAAAATTTTGAATGAAACTGGTGTTTTTAATATAGTTAAATGGTTGGCTGGAGGTTCTAACTTTGATATTATATGTTGGAGTGCCTATGATATTAATGGGTATTCCTTTTATACAAAGTCCTTAGATGAGAAGAGTACGGTGCAAAATAATGGAGTTATGATAATGGCTAAAGCCGTACACTTCTCTAGTTCAAAAGATAAGAAACCTAAACTAGCATCCAGGACTTATTTTGGGGTTATTGAAGAGATTTGGGAGGTTGATTATATAAAATTTAGAGTTCCTATTTTCAAATACAAATGGGTTGACATCAACAGTATTCGTGATGATAAGTTAGGATTTACAATGGTTGATCTTAAAAAACTAACTTTTAGAGATGAGCCATTTATTATGGCAAACCAAGCTAAACAAGTTTTCTATGTCACGGATCCAACAAATAAAAATTAGTCAATAGCACTTAAAGGAAAAAGGGTAATTGATAGTGATGACGATCATGAATCAAATTTTGATATTTCTGAAACTCCTAACTTCTCAAGTGGGCTACCAATTTTGGATGTGTTAGATGAAGTAGATGATGAACTTGCTATAAGAAGTGATCACCATGAAGGGATATGGAGAATATCCCTATATGAGTTCAGTTTTGAAATTAAAGTATGTTGATTTAGTTCAATTAAATTTATATTGTGGGATTGTTTTTCTTAATTATCTTATCTTTGATTATTTTTTTAATTAATTTTATTTATTTGAATTACTAGGAATATGGAGAATCAAGGTGATGACACTCAAAGCCAGCCCACTATAAGCTAATCAATTGGTGATGTTGCTCCTAGTAAGGAGCCAAGTCAGGGCACCCCTAATGAAGAGCCGAGTCAAAGCCAACCTGTGAGGAGGGGGAGACATGGCACACGATTGAGAGATTTGACTTTAAGTAAAAGTACTAGGCATAGGTTACCAATTCAATTTGACCAGAGATGGAATTCGATAGGCCACATAAAGCCAAGTTTGTTAGTTTTCTTGGCCTCCTATCGCATACCAAGCCTCCTATTGTGTTTAAGGACTGGCCTGATATGCTAGAAAGTGTGAAGGAACAGATTTGGGAAAGTATTTAGGTAAATAATTAAAAATTAAAATTTTTTTATGGTTATATATTGTTGGGCAATTACTGATTATTATCTTATGTCTTTATTGTAGCTTACATACGATGTTCCATCTAATCAAGATTGTCGACACAAGTTGATTTCTTATTGTGGAACATGTTGGACAAATTTTAAGACTGATCTTGCTAGAAGATATATCTTTATCGAGGTGCTAGAGGGTCAGGCTCGTCCCAATCCTCTTGATACATACCAGTTCCTTGATGAAGATACTTGGGAAGAATTTGTCAGGATTCGAACTTCTGAAAAAGCTTTAGTCAGTTGATTTTTAATTGATTTAAGTTTTATTTAGATTTACTTCAACTATAAAATCTAAAATTCAATTTATTAATAAGAAAAATGAGCTAAAGGGCAAAAAATTGCTTGGCAGAATCAATGCCCCCACACCCTGTCTCGTAGAGGTTATGCTAGAGCTGATGATATATTGATGGCAGAGAAATAAAAGAAGAGAGAAGAAGAAGCTAAGTCTGATCCTTCCATACTCCTTTCTCCACCATCACCTGTCTCTCAGGAGGACAAATAGAGATATGGACATCAGTATAAAAAAGGAGGCTATACAAGTGAGACAGCACGTGAGATTGCTGAGAGGATTGTAAGTAAAATTATTATTCCTTTCCTTTAAATTTTTATACAATTGTATATCTTATTATTTTTATGTTACAAGATGCTCTTAAGGAGTAATAAGCCTAAGGAAGCTTCATTCCAAAGGGCAGAAATGATATCTTAGCAATTGCTACAGGCAAACCAGAGCATCTGGGTCGTGTGAGGGGCGTTGGACATGGTGTGGGCATTAAGGACTACTTTAGAGCACCTGCACGTCCCAATTCAGGAGGTGTAGTGACTAGAGAAGAGCTTGATACATTGATATCCACTGTGAGGTAGCAGACTAAGGATGAGTTTGAAGCTTCATTTGTAGCTCGACTTCTACAAATGAAAGAGAAAATGAAGGAGGAGATGATGAGCATGATGAGCTCATGATAAGAGACACTGCTAAACCAGTTCATACGTCTCCTGCATTTTATAGTACAAAAGGAAGTAATGTTCTTGAGCATGTGTCAGAGGGTCTTCTGGTGATAACATTGGTAAACCATGTGAGATATTTCTAGAAGATCCTGATAGACACTTGGTTGCTCTTTGTAGCATCTACAGCTTGGGGTCAACCATCTACCACAAGCAAATTCAAGATGATCAAGTGAGAGTGGTGGTTGTAGATCCAAAAGTGCCAGATACATTGGTTCCATTCCTTACTGATGAGGTGAAGACTGTGGTTGAAGCTGTTGGCAATTTTATCCTATGGCCCAAGAGACTTGTGAATCTGGTTCAAGCTGTGGTATGAAATTTCATGAATTTTTATTATGTAGCAGCTTCCTAATATATGTTTTTTATTAGCTATTTCTTACTTTTTACTATGTAGAAGCTTTCCTCATTGAATCTCCCGAAACTTCCATAACCCTCGTTGACTCCACATCAGCGAATGATCTTAATAGCATATGATTCATCATTCAAATTCAAGAATTTAGAAATGGATCCAAAGGTTGTGGGTAAGAAAGACATGATAGTAACAATTGAACGGGAAGATTTGGTTCGACTTCTATCGAATAATCAGCTTACCATACCACACATTGAACTATTTATAATGTAAGTATGTTTTTCTTTAAGATAATTGCATTGTTGTAAGTAAACTTAATCATCAAGTTTAGTAAACTAATATAATTGCATTGTTATAGGTACTTTCATCATTTGTGCATTACATCGGACAAAGGTGATAAGTTTGGATTCCTTTGCTCTCATCACATGACAGAGAAAGGTAATACTCCAGAGTTAAGGGCCGAGTACCTCCAACAGAGAATATGTGAAGTCAAAAGGGACATTTTTATGGCTCCATATGTACACTCGTAAGGATCAATTTATAATTAATATTTTTTTTCAATATGGATTTACTTTAACTTGTATCATATTTAGCAGGGACCATTGGTAGTTATTTATTCTTTCAATGAAGAGCAACACTGTTATCTTTTTATGTTCCCTCCATTACAAACTTGGGAAAGAAATGAAGAAGATGATAGACTTGTAAGAATACTTTTACTAAACTATTTAATTTAATTTTTTTTGAAAATATTATTTACTAACTTGGTGATCTTGATCATAGGGCAATGAGAACATATCAAAATATAGTCTTACAAAAGTATGGACATGAGTTCAAGGATCCCACATGGATCGAGCCAAAGGTGATGCTATACTTTATTAATATATTTAATTATTAAGATTTCTTACTAATTTCTTATGATTTGTTCTTATACAGAGTCATAGACAACTAGTGAGGACGAACTTGTGCGGTCTATATGTCATGAGACACATGCTCAATATCATCACATTGGGCATGACCGAATTTACAAAAGAGGTAAATATATTTTTAAAATTTTTATTTTATTATGTTATTTGAGATTAATTAATACGCCTATTTTGTGAATCAAATTTTAGATGTTCGACAATTCGGATGCATTTCCTGAAGCTGAAATTGAAGACATCCGTATATGTTAGCCAACCTATTTTGTGGAGAACTTGTGAGGTTTTTTGTTAGCTTTAGACAAGTTTTAATTTTGATAGTTGTCACAATTTAGACAATTGTTAGTTTTTTTAATAGTTAAATAGTTTTGTATAGTTGATAAATACTTTATAAACAATTGTAAATGAATTAAGCTGTTTGATTTGGCTTTGGCAATTTTTATGCACAGGAATGGGTAAAATTGATAAAATAAATACAATATAAAAAAATTAAATACTTTTTACATCAGTTATTACCATAACTGCTATAGAATATAATATTTGTTACATTGGTTATGGTAATAATCGATGTAAAATATAGAGTTTTAAATTAAAAGTTCAAGTAAATTTTTTTTATTTTCTTGTATATAATTTTCAACATCGACTTTATAACCGATATAAAAATTTTAGTTTTTACATTGGGTTTATAACCGATGTAGAAAGATAGGACTTTCTACACCCTCTGGAACAACATTGCCTCTTTAACTGCTGTAAAAAGTCATTTTTGTACTAGTGTGATGAAGAAGTTGTAGAAGATGATGAAGAAGCTGAAGATACAGAAGATGGTGAAGATGATGAAGAAGATTTTTATATGGATGATGATGACGGTAATAGTGGTGGTGATGGTGGTGAAGATGATGATGACAATGATGAAGATACATAAATTATGGTTTTAATTTTGATTTGCTATTTAGTTTTGACTTTGATTTTGATTGCATTGAGTTTTAATTTAATTTTGGTTTAGATTTAATTTTTTATAATTTTGTGAAGATTTATTTATTATTTATTACTAACTCAAGGTTGAAATTTTAATATGTAGATGTCAATTCATCGCCAGAAACGTTCTAGAGGCTAATTGAGTACTCCAACACCTATACTACCATCCCAACAACTTGACCAATCTTCTCTTCCTCATGTAGCAGCTACATCTAGTCCTACTGTGGCAGACACATCAATTAGACCTCTGACCATGCCTGAACCATCTAGACATATACTATCCCCATTCATTCCTGAACCATCTAGACCTATATCTTCTCCAAATATGCAGGAATCAATTAGGAGACCCTCATTATCACCTACATCAGAGAACTCACAACCCTCCACTCCACAGGGTCCTCTAGCTAGTTCTACACCATGGGGCCGTGATCCAACAAATGGTAGAACATGGATATACCCTGAGAAGAAAACGTTAGTCAATGTGGTTTGCATTATTTTATTTGATATATCCATTTAGTAGCTTAAAGTCATTCTTGCATTTATAATTATTTATTTCAATTTTTTTGTAGGTTTAACCCGGCCATTGGTACTGTATGGACTATTCTCCCTATAATTCAAGCAAAATTTGAGCATCCATGTTCTAGCTGGAAAGCGACACCCTCTCAGATTAAGCAAATGTGGTTTGCTGAATGGGTGGTATATTTTATCTCTATTATATATTTGTAGTATGTGTTGAGTTTTTCTCTCATTTTAATATGCTTTTGATTTTTTCTTACATTTATGAAGAAAAAATACAAATGGCTGCCACAAGATGAAGCTGCTATTAAGAAAAATTGGAATTCAAAGTGTGCAAACATCTTGAGAAGCATAATGCATAACGTGAGGCAGGACTTGTTTCAGAAAAATGTTAGGCCTAATTGGATTCCAGATAATGTGATGGATGATTTAGAGAAACTATGGACATCACAAGACTATAAGGCCAAGTGTGACATAGCTAAAACCAATCGGGCATCTTCCACAAGAGGTACTCAACACAAAGGGGGTAGCATCCCTATCAGTGAGCATAAGAGGAGATTGGTAAGAGTTTATCTTCAAATGCAATCATTTTTATTTAATGCATGACATAATTCATCTTTATAAATAATTGCAGGCTTCGGAGCTGGGGAGAAAACCTACAATGTTTGAATTGTTTAAGAAGACACATTTTAATGAGAAAACCAGCCAATTTGTGGATCATAGGTCGGCTAAAGTTTATGTAAGTATATGTTGATCATTATTATTGGAATTGTGCTGAAGGCTAGAGGCCTGACTGGTTGTATAATGAAAGTTTAAATCACCTAAGCAAGAAATTGGGCTGTGCTTTATATCTTGATTTTTGTCCTGCTGTCATTTTCTAGTTTTCTTCCATTAAAGTAGACCTATATTTATTGTTTTGCTCTTTTGCATGGAAAATTTATGTTCTCTTCTCATGTTGGTCTGTATTCTTTTATTTTTAGCCTTGTTTATTTGAAAAATTGTTAGAATACAATAATCAATTATGTATAAATCAATTATTTGAACTTTCTAGTACTTGTTTGCTTTTGGTAATGAATTTGTAGAGATAATGAGCACTTTCGTGATATTTTCCTTAACAGTATTGAATCCATATTTTACACTTTAGCTTGAAAACTTCATAGATGGAGTTATAGGACTCCAATTCATGTGTTCTTAGGCTCTATTTAAAGCTATGAACGTCCTATAAGAGGTGAAAATATGTAACATCACTTTGGGCCTCCAAATTAATACAGTTTATTCAATCTCTCAAACTGCCTTATCTGATGTCGGTACTAGATCCAGATTCTGTACAGTAGTTTTGAAAAATCATAACTCATGCTATAGGGAACCAATTTTTTTTAGAAAGCCTAAAATGTCTTCTATAAGGAAAAAATATGAACCTGATCTTAGGATGGTCCAATTATCACAGTTTAGCTATTCAATCTTTCAAACTACCTTATCTGATGTTGGCACTAGATCCAGATTCTGTACACTAGTTTTGAAAATTCATAACTCATGCTATAGGGCACCAAATAATGTGATCTATGGATTTTTGGAAAGCTTAAAATGTCATCTATAAGGAAAAAAATATGAACCTGATCTTAGGATGGTCCAATTATCACAGTTTAGCTATTCTTCTATAATGCTTTGTTTTGTTCTTATGACAGATCTAGTTTATTACTTCAACTTTAAAAATTGATAATAATTTGAGATGAATGTGTGGCTTGAAAATCCTTTTTGTTTTTTCATAGTCCTTAGAAAATCTTCTTTCTTTATTACATAAAATCCACTATTTACCCTATCTTTGTTGTTGGTCAATCAATATGTGGAATACTTGTTTAAGTATCTAGATGCTTGTTAGGTGTTATTATTGCGGGTGTGTAGGAGTTTAACAAAAACGAAAGCCAAAAAGATGGTCAAAGCTTCACTGATCAAATTGGCTTGTTTGTTTAGTGGTTTTGTTTTCTCATTGTATCTAGTACTTGCATATCCCTCTACTCTTATTACTTGAGTTTTGTGAAGGAATTTCTATACTCATTACTTTCTTTAACAGGATTATTACATGAGGCTTACGGCATCCAGAAGTTCCAACATGGATTCTCCAAGTGTAGCATCAAATGATTTAGATGATGAAGAAGAAATTAACCTATGGTTAGAGGCCATAGGTGGTAAGAACAAGAAGGGTCGCATATATGGGTTAAGATCTGAGGCTTTGGATATTGATTCTACCTCTCATTCATATAAGTCCTCTTCATCCATCAACAACTCAGGGCTTCATCCTGATTTTGAAGGGAATTGCATAAGAGAATAGTCACAGAGGTTAGACAAGAGCAACAAGAGCAACAAGAGCTAGTCACTAAGCTTAAACAAGAGAATAAGGATCTTAGAGAATTGAATATGAATATCTTGTCTAGGTTGGAAGCATTGGAGCAAAAATATCAACGAATTCTGAAAATTCAAATTCTAGAAATGATGAGGGATCTTGAGCAAAAAGGATACTTATTAGTTGCCTCCTGTTATGACTTGTTTATCGAAACTACTTTGTTCTAATTTTCTTTAGACTTTGTGACATTGTTATTTTAATTTGCTACTGAGTTATGCTATTTTAGTAAATTTGAAATGTTTGATCTAAGGTATAATTATTTAGTAAATTTGAATTGCTTGTTTTATAGTGATTTTAATAGAATCACAAATATTTAGGTATATAAAAAACACTACCTATAAATATAATAAAAAATTCAAAAATCATACAAAAATTAGCGACGGAATTGCGACAGAGCTTCCATCGCTAATTGAAAAGCATATGTGATGGATATTTCGTTGCTAATTTGCCATGGAATTTCGTCTCTAATCCGTCACTAATTTGCCACGGAATTTCCGTCACTAATCCGTCGCTACTTTGCCACAGACTTTCCGTCGCTAATTTGCCACGAAATTTTCATCGCTAATCCATCGCTAAGTTGGAATATGCTATCCTGAAAATTAGCAACGGAATGATGGATTAGTGATGGATTTGTTCTGTCGCTAATTACTGACGGAATTCTCAATTCCATCGCTAACTAATTAGTGACGGTGTTTTTACCGACGAAATATTTCTGTCGCTAATTCCGTCGCTAACTAGTTTAGTGACGGAATTTTCAATGATTAGCGATGAAAAATTCTGTCGCTAATTAATAGTTTTTTTGTAGTGGGTGGCATATCCATCGAGTGATGTGGCAATGATATTTTGGTCCACTAATAAATTAACGATGGAATAGCAACGGAATGCATTCCATCACAAAGTTAGAATAGCTTATCCTTATTTAGTGACAAAAATATTTTCGTCGCTATTCTGTCACTAATTAGCGATGAATTGCAAATTTTGTTGCTAACAAATTAGTGATGGTTTTTTTATCGACAGAAATATTCTGTTACTAATTCCATCACTAATTCATTTAGCGATGGAATTTTCACTGATTAGTGACGGAATTTCACTGCTAATTAGCTGTTTTTTGCAATGTCTATTGTGGCAACCCCCGTAAGTAAACTTGGACAAACTCTTCTACCTATTCCAAATGGAATTAGCTCTAGATCTTGTCCCTTAAAATCTATGGAAGTGTCCAAGTATCTCTCAAGATAGAACATATCTAGGTCTTTCCAAACCTTAGGATCTCTATGAATAGCCCATGTATTCACATACACTAATGTCTTGGCTGGAATTTCAAACCCTTCTATGATACAATCTTTAGTTGTTTCTCTTGGTACAAATAATGGTGCTGCTGGGTGCAATCTTAACGTCTCTTTTACCACTGCCTTTAGATAAGCGAGCTTTTGAACGTCATTTTCTTCTATGAAACCTTTTTTGGCCGTACATATTTCTGGCCTCTTCCTGAGCTTTTTGCATTGCTCTTGGATTCTTCATTAGTTGGATCATACCCCAAGTTAATACTGCTGAACCTGAATCTGTTCCTCCTGCAAGTAAGTCCTGCATTTATCTTGTGTTATTATTAGAAGGGGGAAATTTTAACATATTTTATCCGTACATAAACTTGTTTTAAAATTATTTAGTAGTTATTATCCGTACATATAACGTAATTCAATCGTATGGAAGCAAAATCTGAACAAGAAAAGAGGGAGATTTTAATTGGTATACTAATTTTATGAATTTTCATTTACTCAATTTACCATGTAATTTGGGAACTTATTTTCTCACAGAATTACAATGGGGTCAGCAATTTTTTTTAAATACGATCTTGGGCTTTCATAGCTCATTCCATCCAATTGTTCAGAGATGCAAGTAGGATCTATAAGATATTACTTTCCTTTAAAATTGATCTTACCTCTATTCAATAATTATCCTTATTGTCAAAGTATAAGAAAAAAACTGAAAAGTTAATAAGGTATTACCATGAGTATAGCTTTGATGTTATCAAAAGTGAGATCTATGTTAAACCATCGCTGATTCTTGAGATGAAGCAAGACGTCAATTTTATCTTCTTCATCTTCTTCTTGTGGTTTAGGCCTTTGAGGATCAAGGTGTGTATCGATCACTTCTTGGTAAAATGCATCCAACTCCTTGAAATTCTTCTCAAGACGGCTACTCAATCCTCTAAGTCTATAGATCCACCCTGTGAAATGAATATAATCTGACAAGAAGAAGGTACCCATCAAAGCTTGCAACTCATTCAGCATCCCATGGAACCTTGAATACAATTAAAAAAAAATCTTCAGATACAACTTTGGCATAATATAATATTCAAAAATATTATTATATCTAGAGAGAGAGAGAAAGGTGGGTAACGTTTCCTGCAATTGAGGTTCCTTTGACCTTATAACCTCCATGATTTTATTTTTTGAGAAAAACTTATATACTTAGCCTTATATATACTTAAGGTACTTGCCAATTAAATCAAGATATGTGGATCTTTTATAGATTATTTAGGAAAAATACAATCATTGATCCATATAATTTTATTGGATTTTGCTGAAACTATGAAGACTAAAAACATTGAAAACATCAAAACTATAGGGACATGAAAAACAAGCATCACTCAATCTTGCAAAAACTATAAAGAATGAAAATATTGAAAAAACTATAGGGAACAAGAGCAAAACCTGAAGAAATTATAGGGATCGATAATTATGTTTTCCCGATTATTTATTCTATAACAAATTTTTGTTATTAATATTATTAATACATTAAAATTATTATTAATACATTAAAATTTACTTTAATTTAAATAGGTATGAGTATATTAAGTATATAAGACTAACCTAAGTCTTGCCCTTTATTTTTTTTCATCAATTAATTTATATATTATTGACAATTTAGACTCGTTTTCCTATATTTTGTATGGAGTTTAAGGTAAACTATTGTTCATAGTCCATATATAACATAGCTTATTATTAGTTTTGTATTATAAATTGATTCCATAAGACATAACCAACAACTCCTATACTTGAAAAGCATAATTATCAATTACTAATCTTAAAAAATAGGTTATATTAAGTTTATAATTAATTTTTTATATATATTACTTTGAAAACAAAGTGTGCAATTTTCACCTTAATTAAAGCTAATTTGAGGACAAACTTCTCAAGCTAGAGTGGAAGAGAATAAACGCCGAGTTTGGATGGGTATAGATGACACCACGAAAGTCATAGGAGATTGGCATCATCAGCATCACACACACACACATGTAACTTAATATAAATTGATGGTATTACACTTATTACATACTTATTTAATTAAATTTGGCCTAGTGATAAATATTGACTCACCAATCTCTTAAGATCTGTCACATGCCAAATTTCAGAAGTGAAAATAAAGACTTAAATTAACAAATGTTCAAAGTATAGGATGCTCAAAATAAATAAAAAATACTTAAAATAAATGGGCTATCCAAAGGAAAACAATATCGAACCTGCTCCTTTCAAATCCTTCTTCCTCATACCTTCTCCCAAAAACAACCCTACAAATTATGGTACTTGTAAGAGACATCAAAACCTCATTCAAGTTCGCAACCTTTGATGAATATGCATGTTCTGATATCTTTCGAATCGTCCGCTGAACCTCATCTTGTCTGATAGATGAAAAACTGGAGACACGCTTAGCACTAAAAATATGGATGGCACATATTTTTCTTATTTCTCCCCAATAATCTTCGCAAGGAGAGAAAATAATATCCATCGCATTGTAGGATAGCTTATGTTGGCTAATAATATGGGGTCTATTAGAAAACAAAGCATCATGGTCTTTAAGAGTTTCTTTGGCCATTTTAGGGGATGAAACAACGAGGACAGTTCTATGGCCTAGTTTAAGAGAAAATAAGGGTCCATATTTCTTTGAGAGGTTCCATAGGTCAGGAACAAATGAAGAATTATTGAGTTGATGGAGATTTCCTATGATGGGAAGGCCTCTAGGACCTGGTGAAAGGTTAGGTTTGTGAATGGTTTTTGTGTGTTTACAAAGGAAGAACAACAGCAAGAGAGGAAAACTTAGAATCATGAGAACAAGTGAGAGTGATACCATTTTGGTGTTTTGTAACCTAACTCGTCAAGTGACTGATCATCCCCCTCCAACCTCGTATACTTATAGACTTGTTATGCTACTATTTAATCTAATTACATTGACTTCTTTTTTTTTTTTTTTGGTCAAGATCTTTAGGACTTGATTATTAATGTACACACAGTGGCATGCTTTGTACGTAATGATAATGCTAATGACAATTTATAATTTATTAATCCAATTTGATGTAAATTATTAGATTCCTTCTTAGCGCTGTCTACTTCTTCATGTGGAACCGGGGCAAGTATTTTAAAGGTGAGAGGATTAGATGTGAGGGAAATGACAATTATAGACCTTGTAAAGACATCAATGATAATTGAAGGCATCAAAATATTGAAATATTGTAGAAGGACCATGATCTTTATTTGCAATTAAAATACTTCAAATTATTGAAATTGTAACATCAGTTTTTATTTTTTCTAAGATTAGAATAATATTGGGATGAGATTCCATTTAACATGTTATAAATAATTTAAATATTAGAAAAATATTTTATTTGGACAGCTCCCATTAATAAACCTGGGCAAATTCTTCTTCCTGCTCCAAATGGAATTAGGTCCATATCAAGTCCCTTAAAAACTATGGGATTGTCCAAGAATCTCTCAGGGTAGAATATTTCTTGGTCTCTTTGAATCTATGTATCTATTCCTCCTGCAAGTAAGTTCTGCATACATCTTGTGGTCATTATAAGAAGAAGGGGGAAAAGATAAGTTCAACATAGTTTATCAAATAAAAATATCTTTATTGAAAATCCACTTTGAGTT